AAGCATATAGAAGAAAGTGAAAAGAAAGTCGAAGGAAAGTAAAAGGAAGTGAAAAGAAAAAGGCGAAGGAAAGAAAAAGAAAGTATCAGAAAGTTGAATTAATTACTTTGTTATTGACAAAAAAATGACATATTCAGAATCAGCATTCAATTCTGCATTTTATGATTAATGATTCAATAGAATAGAGGAAATTTTTTTTTTCGGATGGTTTCGATTTCCCTATAGGCATAGAATAACAGGTGAAACATGAAAGTCGTTTTCGACAGAGAAAACATACTTAATTTTACTCAGAATTTAATACTGATTCCGAGTATGTAATTTTTTCCAAAAATGACATCATTATTCAACTTTCTTTAGACTTATTTCTTGAGTTCTTTAACTTTTTTTCTCATTAAAACAGTATAGAAGACCTAGTTCTTTCTTTTCGAATATGAAAAATAAAAAAAAAGAATGTTTTCAACTTTTCTAAAAGAAAGGAAATTTTTTACTTTACTTTCCTCAAAAATAAAGGAAAGTGTTAGTTTTCTTTCCTTTACGTTAAGAAAGTAAAAGTGCCACCGTTAAATTTGTTTCTTTTTCTTTCCTCATTCTTTTTTCCTCATTTCAGTTGCCTTTCTACTGTTGGTGCTTCACATCTGTTTTTCTCATCTCTTCAAATAATCTTTTATGTCTTTGTGTATTTCTCCATCGTACCACCTTTAACTCCAAACGTTGTCTCATACTTTCCTATAACAAGAAAATAATATGAAGCGTTATTCCAGTTCAGATCTCGAACAAGTTTTGGTGTTTATCAGTAAAAGAAAGGAATTAAAAATAAAGAAGTTTTCTTTTCTTTTTTTGTATCAAATATTTCGTAAAAACTTCATTCAACTTCGAAATAATTAACGAATTTTTGAAGAGGTTAAACTAGATGTGATATGTTCATACATGACGTATATACTATGCAATCAGCCCAACTGTCGTATTTTTCCTATTACCAAGAAAATAAATCTATAGATCGAGACAATTACGATGCATAAAAGAGTTTGTGTTGTCCTTTTCAAAATAAGATGTGTTTGTCGGGATAAGTTGAATAGTTCTGAATTCAAAAGATTGGAAGTCGGTCCTAATGATTTTCTGGTAGAATCTTTGAAAAGTCCCCTTCCAGATTAAGAAAGCTTTATTCTATTTTCAATGTCATTCATTTATCTTATACTTCATAGTCTGTTCTACAAATTCATGCAAACCGTAGATTTTATCATTTGAGTGATGGATCTAATGCACTGTAGTCTCTAAAAATCACTCCTATTTTACTCAACTCATCACAGATTTGCAAGAAAATACAGGTTTTTACCCATGCTGAATCGTGTAGCAATGTTTATTTTCTTCTTTAGATAGGTCAAGATCGACAGGGAAAGATTAACAAACCAGATAATTTTTGGCTTCTCCTACCCTTCAATGAGATGATCATGACTTATCTAGTTCACAACTGGTTGAGCTCAAATTTTCACTACGGGCATGTAAGATGTCTCTCTACAAGAAGCAGTTGTTAGAAAATCACAATACTTTGATGGAAAAAAACTGGAGTTTCTAGACTTTGGCCATCTCATTAAAAAGTAGAAGCCAAAAATCACCTATTTTGCTAATCCTTTGCCTGTCGACGTTTGATCTACTTGGATAAGAACATAAGCGTTGCTACGAGATCCAACATGGATAAGAACTTATATTCTCTTGCAAACCTATGCTGAATTAAGTAAAAGAAAACGTTGATTTTTAGAAACTTCAGCGCATGAGACCCACCATCCGAATGAAAAAATCTGCAGTTTGTGTAGCATTGTAGAACGCACAGTGGAGTAAAAGACAGATAAATGACAGTAAAAACAAAATTAAACTTCTCTGATCTAGAAGGCCGTTTTCCAAAGATCCCACTAGAAAACCATTAGGATCGTTTTCTAAACTTTTGAATCTGATATCGATTGATGTCGCCTGATATCTACTTCTAAGTGGTGAAAACCGTAGGTCGCTAGCTGTTTGTATTCTGGAACTATTCAACTTCTCTTGACACCCTTTCAATTTTGACAACGACACTGATTGAATTTGAATAATAAACGTCTGCTCTTCTGTCCAGGATCAGATTTTGGGAAAAATAGGAAAAAATCGAAAAAGTATTCAACCGTTAATATTCATTACATAAAACTACGTTGTTTATCTCCATCGGCCCTTCGTTTTTCTATATGCTTGAAAAATCAACATGAATAAGCAAAAATCAAGATTTGAAACTAAAAATCAATGCTATTTTATCTATTAAGTTTTACTCTATAATATATAAGTTGTTTATCTTATCTTGTGTCATTTTGAAATTATGAATAAAACTAAAAAGGAAGCCTTAAAAATAAAAAAGATGATCATTACCTTTAAAAATATTTGTTGATGATAGTAAGACGTACGTGATGTTATCAGTAATAGATATTTATTAAAAGTCTAAGATCAACTTTTTCTTGCACGTACATACGAGTCGGCATCGACTGAAGGTCATGAAGTAGACAAAGAGACATTGCAGAAAGAAATTGAGGAAAGGATATCAGATAAAGTGAATAAAAGAAAAGAAAACAAAAGATAGTCTAGAGGGCGAGAGATTGAAGAAACAAGAAGAAAGTAAGCTGAAAATGTCTATCATATGTCTCTGGGAACCCCATTTGATGAACGGGTAACAATTATACGAAAGCTTTTAAAACTTATATTATCTATCTCACTTTCAAAAAGAAAAGGGAAAGTATCACTCTTATACTTGACTTTTCGAAGAAAAAGGCGAAATTTTAGCAGACTTTCGCAAGAAACTTCAATTCTATCACTGTTTTTCTAGATATTTTCGTGGTTTTTTTTAAACTTCAGTTGTGAAATTACTCCCCAATCGGTCGCTAGATAGGCATTTCGACGGGTCGATTGAAGGTTACTATGGGCATCGAAATTGTAAAAGGACCCATCGGATTCTCACTTTCCGATAGGTCGAAGGCTTGACGATAGGTCAGTAAAACGTTGAGTTTTCGATCAGTCGGACAATTTTTACCGATAAAAAGGATTTTTTCCTATAGATGGTCTCATTCTTGAGCCGTCGAAATCTATCGAATAAACGTGAAGAAGTAGATTCGAACATGAGTATTTACAATTAGCATTCGTCGAACATCTAAACTAAATATGAACTATTGTTTTTCTATGAAAGTTATCTTTTCAATTTTTGGAAAGATAGTACTTTCAAGATTGTCATTTTAACATTTGGTAACAGTTTTCGAAAATTAAAAAACAAACTTTTTAATCGAATAAAACTATCTTCTATGTGTCTCTAATTACAGAAAAGACTTTTTTCTGGAGTTTCATATGCCATATAAGAAGCCACATTTGATAAATGTAGCATTCTATAAAAAATTGATTTACGTGATAAAGTATAAAATTACTATTAAAAAAATTTTTAAACATTCAAAACACAAAGTTCGCTATGGCTGTGTTCTTCGTCAAAAACATCTATGGATTTCGGTGTCTTACTTGTTATTTTTCATCAGTTAATGTTAAATATTTTTTAGAAAATTATGATATTAAAGAAAATATATGTTGAACATAAATTATCCTACTAAGCTCGTTGCATGAAAGAGACACTTGTAAATCACTTTTTGATGAAGTTTCACGAAATGAAAATTAACTTCAACCACTTAAAACTGTTATTCTGCTCGGCTTACTTCTACTGAGGCACTCAATAGTATGCTTCTGATATGTTTTTTTTCTCTCAAGTACTTGAAATTTCGATGAGTATCGAGGAATCAAAAAGTGCTTGAGTAGTCGAAAATGAATGTCCGATAGAATACAGTTTTCAAATGGTCAAAATTCAATGGCTGCCGAGAGTTCGAAATCAGAACAGAACGAACAAAAAATATATATTTCAAATTTTCGAGCGCTCACCGCACTCATCATATGCTTATTAAGGTCTACTTGGGTATCTTTTTGTTTGGATCAACATTCAATACACATTTTTATGTTATTTGAGTACGACAGATAGCGTCAACTTACGTCATCCGTTACGCGCTTTTGAAAATTTCACTTAAATATATTACGAATATACCATTTGAATATGTTTTTTGCTGAATTTCAATGACAACATCCATGTCCATACTTTTTTACCGTTTTCCTTAGAACATGGTTTTTAATGAGAACAATTGACACTCCTCTCACCCAGTTCAAGATGTTGCAATGTTTTGTTTTTGTCTTAAAGATCTAAATGAGAGTAAACTTTTGTTCGATCAGATTTTTTGTAGTTGATTACTATGTTTTTGCTTGTTTTAAGACTATATGTACTAAAATGATCATAATAAGTGACTGTCAGTAAATTTCAAAATTCTGCCCGGAAAAAACTGTGCACAGAGATTGGTTTTAGTTTGAAGTCGCTCAAAGTCCTGTACCTTTTGTAGTAACGAAGTTATTGAGATTCTGTTGAAGATCATCAATGGACTATTCATAAGCTGGAAGTATGGGCTAGTTTGACGTATGGGGTCGAAATTTTTACCAGAAACGTCCCATCTCGTCAACTTTTCATCAAAACAGACGGATAACCACGATTCATACAAAACTGACGGTTCGAATGACTTGCTCGTTTTTATCAAGTTTTTTATAATTTTTTGTGGCAGCATCTTTAATAGATAATCAAACTGAAAAACTAGCCGATGTGGCTGGTACAGACGGCATGAGCAAGCTCAGTTAAGAAACAAGATGCGATTTCGACTGACATCTAATATTATTTAACAAGTTTAAAAATATTCATAGAGTGAGATATTTAAAAAAATCAAGCAAAAGAACTGTAATTTTCGAGCAATCTGTACGATATGAAATATCTGTGTTGTTTGTTTTCATCTAATTTTTATATTAGTCAACCAATATAACTGATAAATAGATGATGAGCAATCATTGATGGTTGATTCATTTTAAATTGTGTTTTTTCTTTAGAGGAAACATGTGAATTTACCTTTAAACGAACAATGAAAAGTTCAATTGCTTTTGATTCACAACCACGATCTGTTGCTGTTGGTGACTTTAACAATGATCATCAAATGGATATTGTTGTAGCGAATTCCGGTACAAATACTATTGGAATATTTCTTTCACAAGATAATGAAACTTTTACAAATCAACAAATATATCCAACTGGATTCGATTCTCGTCCTTATTCACTGGTTGTCAATGATTTCAATAATGACAATTATTTAGATATTGCTGTTGCTAATTATGGAACCAATAATATTGGGGTATTTTTAGGAAATAAAAATGGATCATTTACTAATCAACAAGTATATTCACTTAATTCTTCTCGTCCAGTTTTTATTACTATTGGTGACTTCAATAATGATAATCAAACAGATATTGTTGTAGCTATTCGTGATACTAATACTATTGGTATTCTTCTTGGAAATGGTGATGGATCGTTTCAAGATCAAATAACTTATTCTACTGGTTATGATTCTTTTCCATGTGCATTAGTGGTTGGTGATTTCAACAAAGATAATCAATTAGATATTGCTGTGGCTAATTATGGTACTGACAATATTGGTATTTTTCTTGGATATGGTAATGGATCGTTTACAAACCAAAAGACTTATACAACTACTCTTAATTCGAAACCATCTTCTATCGCTGTTGGAGATTTAAATAATGATAATTATCTCGATATTATAGTCACACATTCTGCTACTGGCAAGATTGGTATATATTTTGGTTACGAGGATGGCACATTTGCAAAACAAACTACGTTCTTAATAAGTTCTAATTCTCATCCATATTATGTTACTGTTGGTAATTTTGATAAGGACGATCAACTAGATGTTGTTGTTGTTGATTCACAAAACGATCAAGTACATATTCTTCTGCAATATGACAATAGAACATTTACTACAACAACTACATATGATGGAGTACATGCATCTCGTCCATTCTTTGTCGCTGTAGCAGACTTTAATAATGATAATCAATCAGATATTATTATAGCCAACTATAATACTAATAATGTACTTGTACTTAGTCAACATTCAATAAAACCATCAGTAAGACAAACAAATTATTTTATTGGAAAAGATTCCCGCTCGACTTCAGTCATTATTTATGACTTTGATAATGATGATCGATTAGATTTATTGGTTAATAATTTTGACAATGATAGTTTATTTTTACTAACTAGTAATCATAATGGAGCTTTTGAGCCAGAAACAACATATTCGACTGGAGATAAATCAGCTCCAAAACATTTTTCTATTGGTGACTTTAACAATGATAATCGAATGGATATTGTCACAGCTAATTATGGTTCTGATAGTATAGGTATTCTTCTTGCACAAGGCAATAGAACTTTTTCTAATGTAATAACTTACTTTGTGGGTCACGGTTCTCAACCATGGTCAGTCAGCGTTGGAGATTTCAATAATGATAATCGATTAGATGTTGTCACTGCAAATTACGGATCTGGCGGCTTAGGTGTTCTTCTTGGGCACGGGAATGGAAGTTTTGGTAAAGCGATGATATACTCTGCTAACATTATTGTTCTACCGGTATCAGTTGCTGTTGGTGATGTCAATAATGATAAACAGTTGGATATTGTCATCACTGATGGTTACTCTGACACTGTGGGTGTTCTTCTCGGATATGGTAATGGAACGTTTTCTAATGCAATGACGTATGCTGTTGGTAATTCTTCTGCTCCAAATGGCATTAGTCTCTTTGATTTGAATAATGATAATTATCTGGATCTTATTGTCTCTACTTTAGACGGAGGTTTTGTAGGTATTTTTCTTGGTTACGGAAACGGAACTTTTCAAGACATTGTAACTTATTCGACTGGTTCTACTTCAGTCCTTTATCATATCGCTATTGCTGATTTCAACAATGATCATCGACATGATTTTGTCGTGACCAATAGGGCGAATGATGAAATAATTATCTTTTATGGATATGGTAATGGCAGCTTTGAACTTGCAAGGACATATTCTACTGGTTTTGGTTCGAAGCCGTATGCCATCACTACTGCTAAATTGAAGAATAGCAATCAAACAAATATCATTATTACTCTCTGGGGCAAGGGAAAAGTTGGTATTTTAACTGAATATACAGCTGCAGAATTTGCAAATCGAAAAATTTATTCAACTGGTTCAGCTCCACAACCGTATTCTGTAACTGTTGGTAATTTCAATGATGATGGTCATGTAGACATAGTCATTGTTAATTCTGGAAGTGATAATTTAGATGTACTTTTCAACACGGGTAATGGTACATTTGAAACGCAAATAACGTATCCCATTGGTGTTGATTCATTTCCAACGTATGTTACCGCTGGTGACCTCAATAAAGACAATCATTTAGATATAGTTACTGTTAATTCAAAGAATAATAGTATTAGTATAATTATGGGACATGCTAATGGAACTTTTGATATTCCAAGAGTGTATCCAACTGGAAAAAATTCATATCCATTGGCAGTGGCTATCGACGATTTTAATGATGACAATCGATCGGATTTAATCATTGCTAATGCAGGTAAAGATAGTATAGGTGTACTTTTTGGATTTCATTATACAACATTTAAAAGTCATAAAACTTATTCCAATGATAATACTCGAGCACCATCCAGTATCATCACTAGTGACTTTAATAATGATAAACACCTAGATATTGCCGTTACTTTTTATAACAGTAATAACATAGGTATTCTTCTTGGTTATGATAATGGAAGCTTTGGTACTATGATGACTTATTCAACTGGACATGGTTCACTACCTAAGTCATTGGCTGCTGATGATTTTAACAATGATGGACGATCGGATATTATTGTCGTTAATTCAGGCACTAATGAGATAGGTATCTTTCTTGGATATGGTAATGGAAATTTCGCTACTATGATAAGATATGCAACTGGAAAGGATTCTAATCCAGTTGCGATCGTTTTAACGGATATAAATAATGATGGTCGAATAGATATTATTGTAGCCAACTATGCTTTTAATAATATAGGTATTCTACTTGGACATGGTAATTTGACTTTTAATACCATGGTTACTTATTCGACTGGAAATAATTCGAAGCCAACATCAATTGCCGTGGATGATTTTGATAATGACGGTCAAATAGATATCGTCGTAGCTAATTATCGTACTAGTACTATCTGTATTTTTTTAGGTTATGAAAATGGAAGTTTTACAACTCAAATGAACTATTCAACAGGTTATCAATCTTGGCCGTCTAGCATAACTGTTGGAGATTTCAATGGAGACAATCGACTTGATATCGCTACTAGTAATTATAATATGAATAATGTCGGTATTTTTCTTGGATATGGAAATGGTTCGTTTTCTTCTGTCACGACATATCCCACTGGAGATGGTTCTTCTCCACAATTTGTTGAAGCTCGTGATTTTAATTATGATGGTAAATTAGATATCGCTGTTGCAAATTATGGATCTAACAATATTGTTGTGCTTTTCGGATTTGGAGATGGAAGCTTTTTATTAGGAACCGCATATCAAACTGGTCATGGATCTGCACCATATGTGTTAACCATTGGCGATTTTAACAATGATTCTCGATTAGATATCGCCGTCGTAAATGAAAAATCAAACAATATAAACATCTTTCTCGGATATGGCAGGGAACCTTATGCTGGTGTAACATCATATTGGACGGGCTCTGGATCGCAGCCATACTCAATTGCTATTGGTGATCTAAATAACGATGGTCGATCAGATATTGTCGTAGCTAATTATGGTACTCACAATGTAGGTGTTTTACTTGGACGTAGTCATGGAGTTTTTGAACCTATGAAAACATATTCAACTGAAGTTGGTTTTGCTCCGTATTCTGTTTCTGTAGCTGATTTTAATAATGACAATCGATTGGATATTGTTGTTACTTATTCTAAAACTGATAATATTGCTATTTTGCTAGGTGATGGTAACGGAACGTTTGTAGTTGGAGCGACATACTTAACTGGTGCTCGTTCTAGACCATCTACAGTAGCTGTAGGTGATTTCAATAATGATAATATACCAGATATTGCTATTGCGAATTCTGGCACTAGTAATATAATGCTATTTTATGGATATGGAAACGGTCTCTTTGGAAACAAAACTTCGATTGATCTAGGCTATGGATATCATCCGTTCTCGATTGCAATCAAAGATTTAAATGAAGACAATTGGATGGATATTGTCATTGCATGTTCTGGCACAGATCATGTAGAAACTCTAATAAAAATGTGTTAGTATCACTGATATTTTACATAATTTTTCGTTTTCTCTTTATATTTCTATTAACTAATCAAGCTTTTTTTTCTTACAATAAGCCGTTGTTCTTGCTTTTCTTATTCATATTAAACTAATCATTGGATAAATAAGTATATGTTCGCACGATGACCTTGACATAATATAGTTTATGCTAATATCATTTTACCGAGCAAGAAATGTATAAGTATGCCTATCGTAAATGCCTTAAAGATCTTTATCAACAAGAATTAGTTTATCCGTGTTTGTTCTAGACTAAAAACGAATTTGTTATATGTATTTAATTAGAAGGTATAAAATGATATAGACGCATAGGAAAAAACTATTTTGATTGCATATGTTAATAAATATACTTTCACTCTAATTTTCGAAAATATCCATGTAAACAAACATTTACTAGTTGACAGACTAACAAGGCATAGACATTCTTTTCCCCTCTTTTCATATAGTATAGATTAATATTTCGATTTTTTTTTACGTATATTATTAACTAATACTACCCATTTCAAATTATATTACTGATGGTCATTGTTAGGGTTCGCTCGCAAGAAGAGCGACGAACACAGTTAAGATGTATTTTCTTCTCTCTCTATTTATTCTTTCAAAAAAAAAACAAACATTTATATACGCACATGAAAAACAAGAATAAAATAGAAAAGAATACAAAGGTTAATCAAGGTAAAGAGAAGCAATAGAAACGAAATAACAGAAACGAAAATATCGAAGAAAAGAGAACAGAAAGGATCAAGGTGTATATAATAAGAATACACCGTAACAGACTACCCTGTTGAACAAAAAAAAAATGTGCTCTATCAATATTTTTAGAAAAGAAAAAAAAGAAATAACAATGACATGTTGAAATTAAAAAGTGAGTAACATCAAATGCAAAAAAATAGCAAACAATAACGAAAGAAAATCCGAGGAGGAAACAACTGAGGCTTCAGTCTTGAACTCCCATGAAGTTTTATCAGCTTCTGAAAGTTTTTATGAACTCTCATGAAGTCTTCTGAATTTTTTCACGTACATTTAGTGTACGGAAAATTCATAAAAAAACCAATGAAATACCAAGGTTTTTGGTGATCTTATTTTAGCAGAAATGTAAACTTTTATTGTTTTGTTAATCTGCTGAAAAAGTTCGTGCTCGTTTGAAATTTAAAAAAAATAGTTAACAGTTCAATTCTTTTTAATGAAGTTATGTATTTTCATAAAAAATATCCTATCAATTCGATATCAATGTTATGAAGAATTTTAATCTTTTATGGTTGTTTCTATCACTCGTGAAAGTCTATTAGATGACAAACGGCTAGGTTTATCGGTCAATAATCAACAAGCCGTTTGTTTATGTATAAATTTAAACTTGTTATTTATTTGCATCTGAAAATAAGAGCTGTTCAATGATGGAGTGATCCAATCAAATATACGTATACCATTAAAATTCACCTTATTAATTCTAATCTCATCAACACTTTGTGTGATTGTCACATCTTGATTCTCTTCATCCAAGTTGAACAGATCATTATCAACTTCATTACCTTCCATTGTGTCATCATAATCATCAGATTCGGAATTTGATGTTGAATCTGTATCAGCTATCGAGTAATTATCTGAATTAATGCCTCATCGAAATGGCAAAAATAGACAAACAATCATCTTAAATGTTGAATGTTATGGACTGGCAAGGGATCACAACGGATATTTTTATGTTTCTGACTATGTAAAGTGTGAAGTAAGACGATACAGAATAGGAGATACTTGTGGAATACTAGCAGCAGATGGTCATCTCGATCAACTTGATAGTCCAAGTTATTTTTTTATCGATCAAGATTATTCAGTGTACATATCGTATGATGAAAGGTGTAACAGAATGGGTTGTCGTCCCTGGTGGTCAAGGATTAGGAAATAGTCTAGCTCAATTGTCAAGCCCTCGTAGAATGATTGTTGATCAGTAGAGTCTAAAGAAGGTGACACTGTTGTTGATGGAAATAGTCAAGGAAACTAACTCTATTATATTCAAGATTTATTATTTGATCGACAAGATAATCTATATATTGCTGATCTTGGTAACGATCGAATACAAGGATTCAATATGGATCTAAGTTTCGGCTTGTAGTAATATAAAATAATTTTGAATGAACTATCGTGATAATTTTATATTCTACTTTATCTGAGCATCGAACTGAAAGAATATCAGTAAATTCGAAGTTTTCTACAAAGAAGTTTCAAGTATTCACCATTAAACAAATAAGTTCGTTACATTTCTGTTAAGATCATTGATGTATGAGGTTTTAATAAGTTTATATAAATAAGGACAAAAAGTGTCCTTCAGGCAGACTCAAATATTTTTCCTCCTTCCATCAAATTGATAGATTTGAGCAGCGCATCACTATTCTTGATAACACTTTCTTAGTCAAACATACTTAGAAAAAGTTTTTGAGGAGATATTGAGTTTTATATCAATAATTATTGAACCGTATATCAGCAATGACTAGAAGCGGCAATCCTTCATTGCCAAGTGAAGAAGAGCTGTACGAAAAATCTTAACTAGATTAACTAGAGCCTATCAAAAATTTCTTCGCCTTTAGTGACTAAGATTATATGTCTACTAAAAAATTTCCAACTATGAACAAAATCACGATGAACTCTCGTTTTTTTTTGTGAACATATTTGCATCGCCTTGAAATTTGTTTTTCAGCAAAGCAGATCAGAAACTATTCTTTCGAGGGTCAAATTTCAAAAAATATAAACATTTGTATGTAGGTTTTCTTATGCAAGTTGCGAATTTTTTTCTGACTCACAATTATATTTATACTCGGCAAAATGTGAGTTCGAAAAAAGTATCACTAGCTGTTTTTCATCTAAATGATGAACAAAAACTAGTCCTCTCTTATTTTTCACTTACAGATATAAATCTTATAAATAATATTGAGTCTATCCTCGAATCAAAATATTCCGCAGCCTGAAATAAAGTACAACATAACGGAGAAGCATGGAACAGTAAGTAGTACCAAAGCGAGGAGAAAACATCTTTTTTAAATTGAAGATTTCTTTCCACAACGAGTATACTGTTAGCGAAAGCGATTTCTTACTTTTCGGTAAATGTACACTATTTCCAATATAGATTTCATAATCAACAAATTTCTTGTTTGACTTCAATTATGTTAAAACGTTTTTAAAATAAACATATTTTTGTCTAATAAGTTTTATCTATTATATGAATAACTAAACAAAACAAAATACTAGAGGAGAAGAAATAATTTTCTTTTTTGATTATCCTGTAGTTAAAAATTTCTTGTTTATTTTGTTTAAAAAAAAAACTTTTGTTTTCCTACAAAGTCACTCGTTTATGTTTGATTATATACAATGATAATCAATAAAACCAATTGCAATTCTATGTCGAATAAATTGTTTATATGTTAATTTAATTTTCATCATGATCAGAATCTTTTTCATCTTTTTCTTCTGTTCGCATATTTTGTGTTAAATTACTTCCTTGATTATATGATTTAGTTGGTCTATTAAATGGATTATCAGGTGATTTCATCCATTCTTTTTTTAATAATTGTTTTAATTGTGATAAACGTAATGTTGGATGTTCTTGTTTTAGTTTAGGTAAATTTTCATTTTCAAATGTTTCATATGCTGCTTTCATTCGTTTTTCTGGATGACTATCAACTGAAATTTGTGATGATCTTAATAATAAAAAAAATAATTATTTGATTTTTATAAGAAGGAAAAACAGAACTAATGATACTTACTGTAAAACGTGAATAGCTTCATCAATATCTCGAGCTGAACTACCATCAATTTTTAAACGATTAACATTTTCTTCAATTGGAATTTCTTCTTCATTCAAATATTTTTGTTTAGGTTCTTAAAAAATAAAAAATAATTGAAAGAATAGAATAAAAAACAACAAAAATAAAACAAAATATATTACCATTGGTAGTAGTAGCGGCAGCAGCTGCAGCTTGTCTTTGTTGAATTTGTGCTTGAGTTACTTTTTTTAGTGCTAAATCAGCATTTTTTTTCAATTTTGATGCTGCTAATGCTGCTTCTTCTTGTTCAAGTAATTTTTGAGCATCTTGTTTACGTTGTACTTTTTCATGTTCTTTTTGTTCTCGGTCGTCCTTAAATTAAATAAAACAACTATAGTATATACATTCAGATATTAAATGATTTCCATAGTAGAATCTTTAATTTATTACAAAAACAAAAATGTTCTCTACTCAAGCAGAGAAGAATTTCTGAAGACACGTTTAAACTTTTGCATGTCCATTCAGAAAAGACCAAAATCAGTTAGATTGATCATAAAAGATCTATGATGACTAGAGATGTGCGAGACAAAGTCTTTTTGGTACCGGTAACTTCTATTCCATCGATCAGTTATAGTACCGGTAAATCTGGTCTAGAGAAAACTATTCCAGAATTGATTCATATCATATCTAAAAATATTCTGCAATACTCTTTTTTTTTTTTGCATTTATTTAATCGACGACAAGTACTGTTGTAGGTCAACTCTCTCTTGAATTGTATTCCTATTGATATGAATTATAATATAATTTGCTTAAAATCGTAGAATATTTAATTATAATCTTTAGTTTCTGTTGGAACAACTTTTTTTTTTGTAGTCCCAGTCTCACTCATCAAGACCGGGACTAAAACAAGTTTTGCATATCTGTAGTGAAGACACTTAAAAAGGTAACTTTTGCATATGAAAAATCTCCAAAAAAATTTTTCCTACAATATTTTGATATTTTTATGTGTAGTGTATGTTAAACATATTGTGGCGAGAATTTTTTGCACGTTTTCCAGATACAAACGCAGCCTTTTTTAAAATATCTTCACGCACATTTTATGATGAAAGTAGCTGGTTTTCTGAACGGACATGAAAATGGTCAAATGGAAATCACGATTAGGAAATTTAAACGCATTTTCAGAAGTTCTTGTTTGCTTGGGTACTGATAATTTTATGAAAAGATTTG